GACATTATAAAATAAAATGATTTTGTAACGTTAAATAACAAATACATACCGCTAAATAAGATGACAACACAGAGACACAGATGCTTTCATATTTCGTTCTCTAGGATTTATAATGATTATATTAACGTTTACTGTAAATGTACGTATTTTAATATGATTTTATATACTTTTATTATTGTACAGTAACATGATTTTATGTGCTTTTAACGCTTTTCTAGAGATATTATGATCTCAATATTTGTGGCGGACAGACGTAAAGTCGAATAAAATGACTTAAACTTAATTTTCATTTTCCCATATATTTTTTTGACAAACGACGTATAATCGAGAACGACTTAACTCGAAACAACGTAATCCGTCCTATACCTGTATATGTGAAATTTTAGAATTATATATAAGCATGACTTAACACTGGGATGGCCGAGGTATCGTTTTCGACACCTTCAAATTTTCAACAAATTACTATGGAATAACTAGTTTCGGTTCGATGCTGAGGCTTATGGACAATTATTGAATTTTTAGCAAAGATGCTTAACAGACTTAATTCTTTAAAAAATATTCTGTGGAATAGCTGATATTTGAGGTTTTACCTTGAATGGCCGAGGTGTCGTTTTTGACACCTAGGCTATTTACAGGGTAAATGCATTGAAAAATTTCACACAAGCAATAATACTTGTGTTTATGTCCCCTATCTATTTATCTATCTATACACACACACACACACACACACACACACACACACACACACACATAATTTATGTATATATATATTTTTTGATTCAGTCGGTGATTTTTCCCAGCGGTGAGGAAGGTAAATTATTTTTGAATAAACATGGCAGTAACTCAGACTTATAGAGGAGCTTTGCATTATCAGCAGTAGCAGTCATTGTTTACAAATTCGCATTCACCCTCTAAAGTGCTCGACCGAATTTTATTTATAATAATATATATATTATATTTAAATATAATATAATATATATATATATATATATTTATAATATATATATATATATATATATTTATAATATATATATATATATATATATATATATATATATATATATATATGTATGTATGTATATAATAAATGCTATTATTGTACAAGATGAACAGCCAACATTAAATAAAATATCACTCAGCACAGATGTTATCTGGAAGTACATATGCTATAATTAATGTGCGCATATATCAAAAAAATTTTTAAAAGAATAATAAAATGATAAAAAATAAATCAAATCAAATCTAATCAATAAATGAATCGCATTCTTTTTTGTGTGGCTTCATTCCCAGTAGCCATTACAGATGTAGTCACGCCAGACCATTTCAACCGTCCAGCTTCATAAAAGATACCACCATTTAGACAAAGGAATTATGACTACCACACAGGCACCACGATAATGATGGCAATGGTCGAAAGTACTTGAAATAAATAATATGAACTTCGGACTGTTTATCTGCAACTTCGAGCACAATATGCAACGCCTTAATCGAAAATTGGAAAAATATAATAAAAAATTAAACACACAGAACTTTTCGCCACTTTTTGATAAAATCTGTTTCTTCATATCTATCTATCTATCTATCTATATATATATATATATATATATATATATATATATATATATATATATATATAGTAGAAGTAGTAGTAGTAGTAGCACTACTTATAAGTATAAGAAATTATACTCGTCCGGAAAACTTTCAGTGTCTTGATTTGCAAATAATCAAACCAATACCAAAGGGAAAAAAAGGTATAAAAAAAGAAAGAACAAAGAACATGTAAGTCAGCTGAAAATAATCGTCTAGCATGCAAGTCCAAAGTCCAAAGAAAAAACACGATACGAGTAAGCAAAATAACTAATGAAAGTGCTCAATGCAGTAAGTAGAGCAGACGTAGTTAAACCTAGAGAGCCAGACAAACCTACCAAGATTTCGCCTTAGCGGATCGTCGGGGAAGGCTGGCTAAAGTACCGGAATGCTTATAGCCAATAAACAAAAAAATCATAACCACGTGACCTAAAAAAAAAAAAAACGCGGGGGGGGGGAGAACGATTTATTCAAATAGTGATAAAACAACAACAACAAAAAAGGGAGAGGTGTAGAGAGAAACTCGGACAACAGGGGGTAGTAAACCATTTATTCAATCGAAATAAATAAATAAATAAATAAAAACCGGGGAGAGGAGATCTAGTCTAACAACCAACGTTTTTTATGCCTGCATTTACTAAGGATTTCAGTTTTAGAATTTAATAAATGATCACAAATGATGACTAACTAACTATATATATATATGTATGTGTGTGTGCATGTGTATAGAAAAATAGGAAAGACGCGTTATGTTAATAATCCAAAGTCCTTTAGTATTTTTTTTTTAGTTATAAAAAAACAGTGCCCGACACAACAGTAGAGCCTATGTTCATTCCAAAATTCGCTTGAGGATGAAACAGAACTAGCTACTTTAATTTAATTTTGAAGTTTTTAGCTTCTGTTTTTGAAACATGAGGATTCTTATGTAGCGATGGAATCATATTTTTTTTTAAAAGTAATTATATATATATATATATATACATTATATATATATATATATATATATATATATATATATATATATATATATATATATATATATATATATATATATATATATATATATATAGCAAAAGATTACTAATATTAGAGTGTCGTAGGTCATATTCGATTGGTTGATCAGGGTAATTCCATCCTAGCTTTATATATATTTTTAAGAAAAATGAGGATGTATTTCGCTTTAGAAACCAAATTAATCGTTCACCCGCCAATAATTTGCAATCGTCTTAGGAGACGCATGGTTATATGTTGAAACACGACTGCAATTGTGTAGCGATTATTACATGTTTTGTTGCTATATCCTAAAATAAATAATATTGGTCTACTATGTATTGAACCCTCTTTTAAATGAAATGTTACAAACGTTGGGAGTGTACTCAATTAGTGCTCATCGTACCTATATATATATATATATATATATATATATATATATATATATATATATATATATATAATATTATAAATTAACTGATTTAAATATGCGAAGAAACCATATTTTAAATCAAATAATTTATAATATTTATGCTCTGTAAATTTACATTAAGCACTGTTTTGTAAAAATAAAATAATCAATAAGATCACCAGATTATATATATTACTTTTTTCTTTTTATTATAATAATATATATATATATATATATATATATATATATATATATACTCCGTCTCCTGTAATAATAAATGTCAAAGAATTATTTAAATTAAAGATTATATGAACACAAAAGGAATCTTATACAAAACAACACATTAAAGTCATTAGATTTTTCACGGTAATGATCTGACGGTAATTTTTATTTTAAAAAATAGTACTGTAATTAAAAGACAAAGCAATTTACTAAGACGAGACGATATATAAAGTGCTTTAATTGTTAAATCGTCTGCAGTAAATTTCCACCGAGGTTATTTTAACCTTTAACCGTTTTTGGCAGTCTTTTATCGCAATGTCGGATATTTAATAAGTGATGAAAAGATGAAAAGAAACTAAATAAAATCGGTTAGAGTATATTCCCAAAACGCATATTAAAAAATTTATTTAAAACTTTAAAATTTCAGCGTTCCCTCTCCTCTGTTTGCATGTGTAAGCGTATTAAAGTAAAAACCCTTTTAGTTCGATGGAGTCGTAAATGGCGAAATGAATCACACGAAATTTTTTTCCTCTTCATCATAGATTTTCATAAAATTGTTGTTGATATATAAAAATGTATATATCATCATTCACACACACACACACACACACACACACACACACACATATATATATATATATATATATATATATATATATATATATATATAGGTACTCCAATAACTGGACCGATTTTAAATGTGAATTAAGTGTTTAAGCGACTTATAATTTTATTTTTCTTCCAGATTTGGCGGACATTTGGGCGATATTATTTTTCACGCCTAATTGACATGACGTAAATAACATGATCCAAAGAGAAATAAATAAATTTTCACCAATAACATTGATTTATTTAATGCTGACTTTGATCCGTCTTAATGAAACACCCTTATATCTAATCCGTCTTAGTGAAAAACTCTTTATATATATATATATATATATATATATATATATATATATATATATATATATATATATATATAAAAAGAAAGACATCTACCTACTCAGTTAAGTGCTCAACGCCCAGTTTCACAACGTCAACTCCTAACAAATGACAGCCCGAGTCGTTACTCGAATTTAACGCTCTCACGATCTTCAAACGACTAAAACGCATATATATATATATATATATATATATATATATATATATATATATAAATTAAATAACAAGCTTAACCGTAGTATCTGCCGTTTTTCATGAAACTTGCATAAAGGAAGGATTGCTGCCTAAATATACAACTATACATACATATATATATATATATATATATATATATATATATATATATATATATTTGTGATGCTATAAACAAGTATGCAAATTCCTGACACCACATAATTTAATTGGTCATATATATGCGATGGACGAAGTCTGAAAAGACGAAAAAGACAGACTCGAGTAGCTCTTTTGTAAGTTCCACGTCCTTTTTATTTCCCATAACCTAATTTGATTATATATTGTTTCGACTAAGACTTGCAGGTACCAAATTAGGTTATTTTATATCTATCTCTTTGACATTTTTTGCATATTACTTCTTCACAATTCACGGATCTGATTGAGAAGTCTCTACTTATTTTTTTATAAATAATAATGGTAAAAACCAATAAGAGGATGGCATATAAGACACCCCACTATTTAAATTTAATATTACAGTATATTAAGGCCTTATGGCTTCAAGGTAAATGTTAATCTGTTAGTTATCTCGAACTTTTATATAATACTCAATAGGTATTTTTAACCAGTTTGGGGGAAGAAGGTGGCGACTTCAACGCTGCCAAATACGGTAATATCATTTGTTCTGAGTGAAAGAAAAGAGAATATCAGGTTGCCTCGAATGAAAAGCAAAATGGAGAAAAAGACGAAAGAAAAATGATTGCAGTGAAAAGAATGAAATAAAAAAATCGGTAAAGAAAGAAAGAAAGAAAGATAGAAAGAAATTCCTTAAAGACACCTTTGAGTTTCAAATAGACGAGTGGGGATAATTGTACTTTACTGGTAAAAAATCCGCTAGGGACGTTATTATTAAATTATTAATTAATCTGGAAATTTCGTCCCGCCTCTTATTTCGGTTGGAAGATTTCGAGAAAAAAAAGCGTCCACATTTACCGGAAATTGTAACATATTTTTAAAAAGATAATTAATAAAATGCAAGCCAACTCTTTTAATCGGACAATACCAACTCTTTGAAATTCAAGTGAAGATAGATAGATAGATAGATAGATAGATAGATAGATAGATAGATAGATAGATATAATTACACTGAGATAGATATATAGAAAATGAAGAGAATGGGATAGATAGATAGATAGATAGATAGATAGATAGATAGATAGATAGAAAATGAAGAGAATGAGATAGATAGATAGATAGATAGATAGATAGATAGATAGATAGATAGATAGATAGATAGAAAATGAAGAGAATGGGATAGATAGATAGATAGATAGATAGATAGATAGATAGATAGATAGATAGATAGATATTAACAAAAAGAAAAGTCGAATAATTGTTGAAAGAAAAAATGAAAAACAGTCTTATGAAAAAGAGCAATGTTTGCGGATAGAAATAAAATCTAGCGGAAATATTTAAAAAAAAGAAAAGAAAGAAAGCAGAGAAATTGCCTATAAAATCAAAAAATAGCTTATAAAATAAAGAAAAAAGAAAAGAAGAAAAAATCTGTTGAAGAAAGAAAGGAATTGTTAAGAAAACTTTCCATGAATTGTAAAGGGGAGACAAATCTTAAAAAAAAAAAAGATGGCAACTAGAAAGGAAAAAATAAACAGATAAATAAAAACAAACTTAGAAAAATGGGGTGGGAGAACAATCATGAAATTAAATAGGAGGAAGTCGAAATAGTGAATATAATAAATCGCTATATTTTGATGTTTAAAAAGAGAGAGATAGAGAATGGAGAAGAAAGAGAAATGCATATAATCTTTCTACATTTTCCCTCGTCTTGCGCCTTCATTTATTTTGCCATCTTGCTTGACTCTATATCTTGTTTTATCCCACACCACACACCGACAGAAACTACCTCTGTCAACCCAACCATCGTTAGGAATGACTCCACCCAATTTCCCTCATCCCCCAAGAGGGTCAACTGCCACGTGTGCTGAACAACCCACGTCTCGTCCCTTCTCGTTCAGGACTCCACCTCCTCGAAATCCCCTTCCCGCTTCTCTGCCACCACAGCTCTCAAGTGACGCGAGTGGCCCGACTGGACCGGTCCGACTAACGAGACCAGATGGCCCTGGAACTTTCTGACGAGCTGATGTGACGCACGTTCTTGGGATGGAAACGACACGCAGGGGCACGGGAAGAATCTCTCTCTTTCTCTTTTTGTGTAGATGTTCTTCCCATAAAAAAGTTTCGTTCCTCTGACTCCAAAGCATCCCGTTCGTTGAATTTTAGACGCCATTTTTACAAAACGTCATTTATGGCTTTGCTTTCTTACCTTTTCCCCCCAACTACAAAATAGATTTCAAATTTCATCGTCTTCTTTCCGTCTAATATTTTTTTTTTCATCTTTTATTTTCTTTATTTACCTTTACTCAACCTTTTTTCCCCCCTTCTTATTCCGAAAAAAAAAATATGATTTATTTGCGGCTTTTCATCTTTTTATTTTCTGTCACGATTCATTTTTCATTTCTTTCGCATGCACGAGGCAGATTCATTTCGTTTTTATTCGCTGGGTTAGGAAAAAAAAAACGGTTTTAAAATGAAGACAAATTTAAAGTTGCATAACTGAATAAATGGGGAGGCAAAAAATGGGGAAGCAAAAAATGTACTTCTTGATTTTCCCCCTATTAGATAACATTAGGAGTGCTTCTTCAATGTGCCATATACAGTGTAACCCGGATGTAAGAGAGTTGTCGGGACCGGAGAAGAAGTCTCTTATATCCGGGTTTCTCTTATATCCGGGTTTGGTCTATTTTGTTTAGGTAAGTATGGGAACAATTTGGGACCAGAGAAAATCTCTCTTATATCCGGGTTTCTCTTATATCCGGGTTACACTGTATCTTCAAGATGTTGGCAATCATGGCTCTCCACAATTTCGTACCTCTCAATACATTTTGGCTTTTTGTTATTTTTCCTAAATTTTGTTCTCCTTCCTCTTCTTGTATGAACCGTGTCCCTTCAGGACGTTAGCGATCGTGGCTCTCTACAATTTCCTGTAGCTCGTAATAAATGTCGTCCTTTTGTTATCTCTCCTATGCCTTGTTCCATTTACTCCAGATCCTTCTTCTTCTTGTATGAGCCGTGTCCCTTCAGGACGTTAGCGATCGTGGCTCTACAATTTCCTGTCATTTGTAGCTCTTAATAAATGTCGTCCTTTTGTTATCTCTGCGTTATTTTCCTCTGTCTGTCTTGGATTCAATAGATCTTGTGAGTGTCAAAGTTTCCAATCCCTCTTTCCGCATTATGTGCCCTAGAAATTCCAGCTATCTCTTTTTTATGTTAAGTATAACTGTCCTTCTTGTTCTCATTGTCTCTAAAACTTCGTCCTTGCTCCCATGTTCGGTCGATGGTATCTTCGGCATTCTCCTGTAGAGCCACATTTCTGTCTCTCCAAGTCCCCTCTTCACCCGTGAGAAGATTGTCCAGCATTTACTGCTATACAGGAGGATTGATATTATGTAAGGGTTCAGTACTCTTTTTTTTAAAAAAAAAAAAACGAAATTTTTCTGTTACCTAATATTTTGCTTAGCTTTTGGAAGGCATCTTTCGCTATCCCAATGTGCCTTTGGATTTCAGTGTCACACTGTCCGTCCTTTGTTAAAACACTTCCCAGATATTTAATTTTCCCTGTTTCTTAATACTTTGCTTAGCTTTGGGAAGGCATCTTTCGCTATCCCAATGCGCCTTCGGATTTCAGTGTCGAACTTTCCGTCCTCTGTTAGAACATTTCCCAGATATTTAATTTTTTCTACTTGTTTGATGTTGGTATCCCCAATTTGTAATTTGCATTTTTGGCTCTTTTTTTTTTTTTTTTTTTGCTAACAACTACGCAATACATGTAGACAAATATTCGTTATAACAAAGAGAAATCTTTCAGCAGTGTACCGAAAAGAGTGCTCAGCGGTCTCGGCCCAATTCTCATCTTAAAATCAGCCATGACGTCACAAGTGTTTCTTGTTTGGGCTGAGAACTTTTTAGAATTGTTTCATATTTTTTTCCTTTTTGGCTTTCATTATTTTGTATCGCCAATCTCCGACCCCCATTATGTGGTCATCAATGTTCATATGAAAAAGAAAAAAAATAAGCCACCTGCGAAACTGGAATATCCTCAGGAATCTCTATTAACACGAGAGCTGCATTACCAATTAGATCACGTTACACATATTCAGCAATATATTTATGTTTTATTTTCCCCAGCTACATGATGCGACCTTATTTATTATTAATTTAAATATAGTTTCTGAATTTTGTTTCCATTTTCTCTAAAATCTTGGCGTTGCTCACATGTTCAGTTTCAATGTATCAGGATCCTTCTGCAGAATCATATTTCTGTTACTTCAAGTCTTTTTGAAGAGATTGTCCAGCATTCTTTGCCATATAGAATGACCGATATCACTTAACAGTTCAGATTCTTAATACTCTGCTTAGCTTTTGGAAAGCATCTTTCGCTATCCCAATGCGCCTTCGGATTTCAGTGTCGAACTTTCCGTCCTCTGTTAGAACATTTCCCAGATATTTAAATTTTTCTACTTGTTTGATTTTGGTATCTCCAATTCGTAATGTATATGTTGCGCTGTTCTTTTTGTTAACAGCCATCCATTCTGCATTTTTTGCAATTGTCGTTTTGTCCTTTCTTCTCGCTTTTCTGCACTGCCTTCTGTAATAATTATTGTAGTTTCCTTTCTGCATTTGCTAACAACACCGTGTCATCTGGAAAAATTATGGTGTAAAGACTGTGGCCGTCAATAATAAATCCTGAAAGGACTTCTCATTTTTTCAAAACCGCCTCACTCTATAGATGGAATAAGTCCGGTGAGAAGATACATACTTGTCTTTCACTCATTTCTATTTTTCTATATTTGTTGATTCCATTTTCTCTTCGTATGCGGGATAAGCATTTAGTCTATAAGAATAGTAGTTTTTTTTTTTTTTTCTTTTCTGCTAGCAATTATATTAAAGAAAAATATCTCCCACGTTTGCTTTTCTGATGACTGGAGAGCCTCTAGCAATTCCGAAAATTAAAAAAAAAAATCACAAATTTTCATTCGTGAATTCATGCAAGCGTGAATCTTCGATTACTATATCAATGCTAAGACTGAAAATTTTATTTCGTTCTGTTACACATGCTGATAATGCCAACCCCATTTTAATGGGAGAAAGCTGCGAAATTGCAGCCTTCTTCTACTTCTACATGCTTCAAGACATAGGCTTTTCAAAATTGTAGCTCTAAGCAATGTTAGTTTTGTCACCATTCCCCCTCCCCTAATCTATATTTTGCCATCAATTTGCACAAGCTGTTTTTTTCTGTCCTTCTTACCTTCATTATGTCTATTAAGTGGCAAATTCTCCAAGCCCTCTTTTCTCATTATGTAACCCAAAAATTTCGACAGTGCATTTATCTTTAAAATGTCCTCCTTGCTCAAATATTTCGTCTGTGATATTCTTAGCCTCCGTCTGAACAACCACATCTCTGTTACCTTAGGTATCTTCTTCATCTTTGAGTAAACTGTTTAGCATTCACTGCCATATATGTGAACTGACATTATATAGACGTTCAATGCTCTTTCTAACGAAATTTTCCTGTTTCTTAATACTTTGATAAGCTTTTGAAAAGCATCTTTTTGCTCTACTAATGAACCCTTAGTATTCTGCTTCAAATTTTCCGTCAGCTATTAAAACACTGCCCAAATAGTTACATTTCTGTTTTGTCCTAAGACATCAGCAAACTTACCCGATGTCATCAGTTCCCAACTTGGTTTCTATGCTGACAAAACAACTATTTCCTCATCGTCATCATAATAATCTTTCGACCTCCCTAAGGTTAGTCGGAATTCCATTGACAATCCCACTGTTCTGTCCTGTATTGCTGTTCCCAGATCCTTAATGTCCAAACCTGAATCCCGAGCTATGTTGTCTGGGAAAATCAATTTTTGTGAGAAGACACTTCCAGAAGGGTGCCATAAGAGTAAGGATGAGACGATTTCCCTGTCAACTTGATTGGTAGTGGCCGGCAAACTGTAATCGTTTTTGTTTGAGATTAAGAGAGATTGGTCTCATTTCTCCGTAAATTGTGTTAAGCGTTGCATAGGATGTCCAACTAATGTTCTGGATTTTTCTAAGTAGATCTGTATATGTTCCATCCAGTCGTCTACTATTTTACCGGTAAATCTGTGTGGTTCGATAAATCGAAATTAACAGCTGATGTAAAAAAATGACCTACAATATGTTGTTAACTGGGGCAATTAATGGCTTGTTACTTTTAACGCCTCCAAAACGAAATTCCCCACTTTTACTCGTCTTAGAGATTATTTGTTTCCTTACTTCAGTATGACTGATGCTAACCTCTAGGAGAGT